CCTCCTTGGGTTTCTGATGCAGTATCTCTATGGAAGTAGATTGCCCAACCTTCCTATCGAGGAGTGGCTGGTGGGTTTGAACCGCCAGCCTTCTGGTTAGCAGTCAAATTCCTTAGGCACTACACCACCAGAGCTCCTATATATAAAATGCTAAATATATCTAAAACAATGTTTTATCTCTATGTATTTATATATATTGCTAAATATATCTAAAACAGTGTTTTATATATTGTAGTTCTACCTGAAATTTTTCAGAAGGAAGGTTGGGTAATCTACATCCGTAGTGATACTGCCTTGGAAACCCAAGGAGGGGTTGTAATGAGTTGGGTCCGAGTCAACAGCACATAACAACAACCTGAAATTTCATTGCTAAAAGGATTTCTCGAGTTTAAGAGTTTATAAAGTTTGAAGATCCATTTTGACGTCTGTAATCTGTTTATTGAGTGTTTGCCGTGGCCTACACAGTGGCCTAAGTATTTTACCAATATCATTTAAACAATCCCTAGAAAACCATATGAAGGATGTATAATTCCCACTTTACAGATGAGAAAACTGAGATTCTAAAAGGGTAAGTGATTTATGCCAAACACACAGCTATTAAGTGGTAGGGCCAGGATTCCAACCTCTTTGTCTGTTCCAAAGCCCATCCTTTCAAACTATAGGCTATACAGTATCTATGTTTAAGGCTCATTGTGCATATGTTCACAGGCACTTGAAATGCATGAAAGCACTGCAAAACACAGATGTCTGTAAGTATAACACTTAAGAAGGTGTGTTTTTAGTGGTACACATTGTCTGGATGCTGCTTTAGTGAGAGGTTTTAATGAGAGGTTGTAGTAGAAATGAGCTTTGGTAAGAAAGGATGGTAAAATATTTCCAAACTGGAAGGATAGACTGTGCAAAGTCTCACTGCAAATATTCGTTGCTTTGGGTGGAAGCTGCCTGCAGGGGGAAGCAGCCTCTTCCAAGCCTCCCTGTGTCAAAAATCTTTTCCTTAAGTAATATTTTGGAACTTAAAAAGGAAGTTAAAGGGGAAGTATTGCTGGGACTTTAAGGAGTGACATGGGCACTACAGAAGTCTATGAGAATGCTGTCAACACCAGAAAGGCAGACAGTCATTCTAAGTAAAACCAATGGTAAAAAGGAAGAGAACATAAAAGCAGAAACAGAAGGCCCTGGTAATCTCTTGCTTTGGTCTGATTCTTTAAATCACAGTGTTACTTCTGTTTGTCCTGAGCCCATCAGCTGCACCTCACCCCTAAGAGAGGAGAATTGAGTGCTTTTCTCCTTTGACTGATTAAATTCTTCCAGAGTTTTCTTTTTATGGAACCATTTTTCTCTTCCAGGAAGTTGTCAAAATATGTGATTTTTAAAGAAAAGCAGGACTGAAATGTGTCAAGTCCCTGGAAGCAGTCTGAAATCATAAGACCATCTGGCCACAGAGATCTCAGTTTCTTTGACAACACCACTGGGACTGTGGGAGGGCAAATCTTGTCATCATCAAATAGAAAATCAGCTAGGAGAACAAACAAGAGCAGACACATTTCAACACAATATGCCCTAGTTTCTGTTCCACTACACTTCGAGGCCTATGTTATCTCCCAAGGACTCTGGGGCTTAAGAAGAGTCTTGAAGAAGACTTATTCCTGAAACACCAAATGCAAATCAAATTATGGTTAAGATGCACTAAGAGAGGTGGCTATTAAAAGAGAACCCAAGGCAGATATGTATGTGTGAAGCAATCACTCTTTGCCTGTATTTATGTTTGTATAGGTGCATTTGAAGTAATAATTACAACTTTTCTGAACTGTGTTCATTAACAGTTATTAAACTTGCATGGGTGAAAAATTTTCCCCTTAAAACATTTAATAGTCAAAACTGGATGGAGACCTAGAGAGAATGAAGAATAGACTCTGAACACTCTCCCAGGGAGATGGGTAGATTCAGGCAGAAGCTTGTTCACAGGTAAGCATGACGACCTCCAGTGTAGACCACATGTTGTAGAATGTGTGGTCAAGCTGACAAGATTTCAAAGGAGAGAAGGGACCATCCTTCACAGAAATGAGATCAGCATATGGCAGTGCAGTAAGAATTCCCAGGGTAGTAATTTGATAACTACACTCCTGTAGGGAAGATCAAGAAAAGCTCACAGCTATATGACAGTCCTAAAGTTTTAGGTAAGATTTCAGTCTTCTAGCTAATGTCCTGAATGCATAAATATTCAATGGCTAAACCTGCTCCCCAAGGAGCTCTGGGGCAGCAGTGGGTTAGACTGCTAACCAGGAGGTCAGTGGTTCAGACCCACGAGCCGCTCCAGAGAAGGAAGATGGGGTGATCTACTTCCATAAAGATTTACAGCCTTGAAAACCCAATGGGGGTCGCTATGAGTCAGAATTGAGTCAATGGCAGTGAGTTATTTTTTGAAATCTGCTCCCCAGGAGCTCCTCCTTAGAGCCCTCTCTTCAGTACCAGCATCATCATGGTGTTCTTACTTGCCAGTCCCACTGATTCGGAGTTCCTTGGTGGTGGTTAAGCCCTTGACTATTATCCAAAAGGCTGGCAGTTAGAACCCACCCAGAGGCACTTCAGAAGAATGTAATCTGCTGTCAAAAGGTCACAACCTTGAAAACCCTGTGGAGTGCCATTCTACCCTGCAACACAAAGGGCTACCATCCATTGGAGCTGACTCCGTGGCAACTAACAACAACAGTCCCAGTGATTATGAATTAGTTTTGGTTGTTGTTTGGTTCTGGAATGAAGATTACTGAAAAGTTGTTTTGCACTTGAGGAAGGAATGTAGGAGACAGGGACGAGGTCAGGTCTTCCATCCTAGCCGAGGGCTGAGGAGAGACCAGCCTCAAAATGGAGCAAGAATTGAGGGCTACATGCCCTGGAGACTCTCCTGCCTCCTGGTTGATGTTCACTGTAGATGATGAAGAGGGAGGCAACTTACCTGAAATTTCTGGAAGTGTGGGCTTGTCTTCTTTCCAGAAGTTCCCATCACAAACAGGAAGTCTGGGGTTAGCACAAATGGCACTCTCTCTTTATTAATGCCCAGAAAACTTTTGTAATTCCCAAGAATGTGCCCAAAGTCAATATGAAATAGATTTCCTTAAGAGAACAAAATGTTTGACATCATTACACTGGCATAAGTGCTTGTAACAACATTCTGGTATGTTTACTTCTTGAAATCGTTTTTAAGTTGCCTGAGAATGAGCTATATTGGGTGAGAGAGCTATGTTTTACACTGTTCATCAGCTTCTGATATTTTTCATTTTAGCAGGTGTGTGAAAGTAGTACCCACAAAACAGTCTCTGAAACAAGTGCGTTTTTGATAGTGTTCCAGTGTTCTTTAAATGGCAACCAAATGCCATTAACAAATTCTCAGAAGTATTCTTAGAAACATAACTCAAGCTCTGGCTAATATGTCATCCTTATGTCTAAGACTCTCTCATATACGATCTCTTTTGATTGTTACAGGTAGTAAATGATTTGTCTCAATCTAGTGCTTTTTTTCAGATTCTACTCTTAAAATGGTCCAAATTTTCTAAAGAAAGATCTCATGGATTGGGACCAATGCTGATCACTGTCAGAGGGACAGTGAGCCAGTGAAGGATGGGTCAGATTGAAGAGTATGTACGAGTTCATTTTGTTGCTTCTCTGCAGCATCCGACGTGGATCGCTCCCACTTCCTTCCCTGTTGTTGTTGTTATGTGCTGTTGAGTCAGACCCGACTCATAGCGACCCCTCCTTGGGTTTCC